GGCGTGCGGGGGGCAGGATTGTTGGGTTTAACACAGGGGGGGGGGGGGGTGAGAGAAGGGGGGGAACTTCTCGATTTCTTCTCAGCGGCACCTGCCATGTTATTATTGCATGCAGAAGCATATGGTGCCGACCTATTGCAGAAATGGGTAACCTTGCTTATGGATCACCTGCAAAGTCGCGCCACGTGGTCTCTTGAGCTAGGCATCCTGACCACCAGCGGCGTGCTGGCAGATGCTTCATGGGAGGTTCATGAGCTGGCATTTCTTCCTGCCCTGGCGCTAAGCGGGATCGTGTGCATGCTGCGATCCTGCAAGAGCAATGAAAAGACAAACAACACGCACTGGAAGCAGAATGCAGTATGCAGTTTCTTGGCTTTCGCTTTTAAAACAGGAGCAAGTTTCTAGCGCTTCTGGCTGTGAAAATAAGTTTGGAAGCATGCAGAAAAATGCCCGATGGGATTTTAAAAGCTAGAACGGTTGCCAGCAAAGATTTTTTTTAAATGTCGGGGCAGGGGAGCCCCTTTTATGTCGTTGACCGTCCTCTGACTAGCAAAACCAGAATGAATATTGCAGTATAATAAATGTTGCAGGATAAAGAGTTTAAATGAAGTAGTTCAGCATGCATGAATTTTGCTGCTTGATGTAGAATTTCCTGAAAAGAGGGTTTAATTTTTTTATTTCATTCATTTATACCCCACTTTTTTTCCCCAGTGGGGACCCAAAGCAGCTTACATTGTTCTCCAGTTCTCCTTGTTTATCCTCACAACAGCCCCATGAGGTAGGTTAGGTGGAGAGATTGTGACTGGCCCAAGGTCACCCAGCAAGCTCTCATGGCATGAGTAGGGATTTGAACCTGCTTCTAGATATCAGTCAAACATTCTTAACAACTATACCACACTGGCTTTTTAGCACCAATAATCTAAAATCGTAATAATAAACAACTGGGCAGCTGCATGTGTGAGGAAATAACTCATACTGTGTGAGTGATGTTGATGCCTGTTCATGGCAGATTGATTATGCTAAGACCTACTTATTGGTTGCTTAAACCTGTGTTGGCAGGGGTTTTAACTCCTGATGAACTGAGCTAGTGTCTTGAGGTGAGATAGATTCAAGGGGATAGCTGTTTTGGTCTGAAGCAGCAGAGCAGAGTATGAATCCAGTGACACCTTTAAGACCAACCAAGTTTTATTCAAGGTGTAAGCTATCATGTGCAAGCACACTTCATCAGATACATTAAAGTGGAAGTTACCAGTCCATACATATAGGTAAAGGGTGAGCCTTAAATTAGGGCTTTACTAGTTAGTTAGTCTGATAGATTCATCTTTTAAGGTACTTCTGATTGGAAGGGACCAGAGACTTCTTTTTAAATAAACAGTCCTTAAACTGTTTTTAAAGTATTTACTATGGGCAGTGTGCACTGTTTTGGAAGAGATATTCTGCACCCTCTCCTGCATAAGAAAGAATGCCTCTTCCCGGACGATGCATACTAAGGCACATGTTTGCAGACATCAGGCGTCCTCTGAGAAGGCTCTGTCCTCCTTTTTCAGAAGGGGCAATGCTTCTTCTACAATGGCGCCTGCTGCAACATGCACAAATCATAAAAGTCGTGTATGTATTTATTTCACAAGTATAACGTGTAGGCAAATATACAGACTTTAATCAGCTGAAGCACTCAGCTGGTGACCGTCCTGCATTTTAATCGTATCTTTAGCTCACCCTGGCCAGTGGAGGCCAGTGGAGGCACTGGGTAGATAATAACACTTATACTACAACATCTAACACTGTGCTACGAACAGGCCTCAGTTACAGGAGCAAAAAAAGGGAATCCCTCTCAACCAGGAGATGGAGCAGAGCTTGTCCGATAGAACACTTGCTCTCGACTGTTCTTCTCAGACTTCAGAAAAGGCTGACCACTTCGTGAGGTGACTTGGTAACTCCCACGGCATTGACCGGTCCTCTTTGGTTTGCAGAGGTCCTACAGCAAGGAGCTGTTTGAAGAAGTGATTTCAAAGATGCGGAAGGCTGGAATCAAATCAACCATAGCAATAGAAAAATTCAAGCTGCTGGCAGAAAAGGTGGAGGAAATTGTGGCCAAGAACGCCCGAGCAGAGATTGACTACAGCGATGCTCCTGATGAGTTCAGAGGCAAGTCACCCCTTCGCAGGGGGTCTGGCATCTCTTTCTGA